GTGGCTAGATTCCAATAAAAAGGATTTAGCCTCTCAGCTATAATTTACCAAATCTTGATTAATTACTAGTACCTTCATTTCATATCAGAGAAAGGATACAAAGAGCATTTAGGTGGCCTGTTTGACATCCAGTAACTAGTAAGCAACAAAGATGAACTGATCTTGGCTTCTGGTAAATTGTCATTGTTTCCTCTATGATAGGTGAATATTTATTGAAGCAGTAAGGCACTTTATAAGTAAATAAGAACATGGCATTATTGTAGTCCTTTCTTTAACTCTCTCAGGTGGGTGGTATTAGTTTCTTTTTTGGAGGAGAGAATAAGGTCAAACAGATCAGTGACTTCCAGAAAGATCCATAGTAAGTTGTGGAGCCAGGATAAGTCTGACTTATCATAGCAGAATGTCTTTTTCAGTCTTGATTTTCTTGTATTGTAAACATGTATTTTCTTATCTCTTTTTGTTAACTATGGTTTGGTTGGTTGGTTGATTTTTTTTTTTTTTTTTTGGTTTTTGAGACAGGGTTTCTCTGTGTAACAACACTGGCTTTCCTGGGATTTATTTTATAGACCAGGCTGTCCTTGAACTCAGAGATCCACCTGCCTCTGCCTCCCGAGCACTGGGTTTAAAGGCCAGTTTTGCACTACCTTGCTTGGCTTCTAAATTCAGGGTTTTTTGTTTGTTTTTAGAGACAGGGTTTCTCTGTGTAGCCCTGGCTGTCCTGGGATTAGCTCTGTAGACTAGGCTGGCCTCAAATTCATAGAGATCCACCTGTCTCTGCCTCCCAAGTGCTGGGATTAAAGGTGTCCATCACCACACTCAGCTAACTATAGGTGTTTTTACTTCTAAATCTTATGTATTAAATAATTTAACATGTAACACATAGAATACAAACGTTAGCTGCTTTTCTTAACCAACATACTACTTCTGGCTTCTATTCTGCTTGGTTTCTTTTCTATTAAACTTCTGGTTTTTTACATTTTCTTTTGTATGTGTATGTAGTATACGTGTGTATGTGTGTACGTGTATGTGTGTGTGTACATGAACACACATGCATGTGAAGATCAGAGGTTGATGCCTAAGTTGTTTTCCGCCCTATTTTTTGAGACATTGAACCTGCACTCATGAACTTAACTAGATGGATTGGTCAGTGAGCTGTAGGGATATGCCTGCCTGTGTCTCTAATTTATGGGATTGCAGTGACTCAGCACAGTGCCTGGCTTATAAAGGTTGCTAGGGATCTGAACTCGGAGTTCTCATTCTTGCAGAGCAAGGGCTTTCTAGACTGAGGCATCTCCCTAACCCTTGGTGTATGTATTAGAGTTATATATAGTTTTATAGTTATATATATTTATTAAAAATTAATATATGTATTAATTTTATAGAGTAATTTAGATTTTCAGAGAGTTCTGTATACTCAATTTCCCTAGTATATTACACTGGAGGACATTTATCAGAACTAAAAATTCATTAATATTTTGTTACTTTTACATTTGATTTAGATTTCACCAGACTTTCCATTAATGTCTTGAGTGTTTTTTCAGGATCCAGTCCATAATACCACATCACATGCAGCTGTCATTTCTTATTAACTGGCAGTGGTACTTTCTGAGTCTTGTCTTTTATGACTTATACAGTTTTGAGAAGAACTCATGAGGTATTTTGTAGAAAATATCTCAGATTGGTTTTGTCTGATACTTTCTTCATGGTTAGAGTTGTAGGTGTTTTGGGAAGATTCCTTCAAAGTTGAGATGTTGGCCATCATTAGTGATGTTAACAGATATGTAGATATGTTCACAAATCACAATGCACAACTCACAAAGAGTTATCACAAAGTGAATGAATTCATTAAAACATTCTCCAGATCAAATAGTAGAGCATTATTTATACCCAGAAGCCCCTTGTGCCCCTCCCTCTTTCATAGAGACAGCCACTGTCCTGACTGCTGATTCATCTAGTGATTTTCTCTTGACTTTATATAAATTATGTGGTTAAGTATGTATTTTGGATGAGTTAATTCTAGTTTGGTTGTGAGGCTCAATAGTAGTTTCATTTTTGTTACAGACTAGTACTGTATACGAGTAGGCTGAGTTTATGTTCATCCTACCATTGTGGATATGTGGGTCATTTCCAGTTCTGACTGTTAGAAATAGCAACTTCTTAAGAAAAGATTTCTGTTTATTTTTATATGTATGGAGTGTCTTACTTGCATTATGTCTGCATGTCTGCAGTCTCTGCATAGGCCAGAAGAGGGCATTGGATCCCCTGGAGCTGAAGTTAGGATAGTTATTAGCCACTATGTGGGTGCTGGGAACTGAACCCAGGTCCTCTCTATAAGAACAGCAAGTGTTCTTAACTGCTGAGCCATCTCTCTAGCCCCTCACTAGGAATTTTACATCGATGTTTGTGAGAGTTTGGCATGTAATTTTCCTGTCTTGCAGTGTTCTTAGCAGGATTTTGTATCAAAATGATCCTGACTTTAAGGGCAGGACCTTAAAATAAGTGAGGGAGTGCTGCCTCTTCTGTTCCCTGGAAGAGTTATGTAAACTTGGTCTGATTTCTTGCTTAGATGATTAGTAGAATGTGTCAGCAAGTCATTCAGCCCTGGAATTCATTTCGGAAGCTTTTAAATTAAGAACTCAATGTCTGTTTAAGTCTTGAGGCTTTCTGCTTTGATAGATTTTGTCCAGGAAATGTCTACTTTGTCTGTGTTTTCAGATGTATTTAACATCCTTTCATGCTTAGTAAGTTTTTAGTGATAAAACCTTTTCCATTTCTGATATTAGTTATTATCACTCTTGATGAGTAGGGACTAATCTAGTCCTTTCAAAGAGCTGGTGTTTTAGTCAGTCTCCTTTACTGTATGTTTTTTTTTTTTATTTTATTAATTTTTTTCTCTTTGAATTTGCTATGATTCCCTTTTCCCCTGACTTAGGTCATAGATTTTTTTCAGTCTTTTTATTCTTTAGACTCCCTAAAGAATAAATTTACCTCTAATCATATTAGTTTATTTTATAGGTTTTTTAAAAAGTGTGTGTGTGTGTGTGTGTGTGTGTGTGTGTGTGTGTGTGTGTGTG